CTTCTGCTTTCATCCAAGAAGAATTGGAAGAGGTTGCCCACTTTCAAACAACCTTTCTGTGTCTTATTTATTCACATTGAGTGGTAATTAACACCAGCCAATCGCCTTTAAATTTAACCCTTAAATGTCAATAATTCAGAATGGTGAGGTATCAGTCAGCAAGTCTGCAGCACTTGCAAATTAGGTGAACTTATGATGGGGTGGCTATCGAAACATCAAACCGCTCTTAATGCCAGTAGGAGTGATCATAGACCGGTTGACCTTATTAAAAAAGGCTTTAAGAAAATTTTTAGCAACCCAAACAACTCTCAACTCAATTGCCCATTCTCTGAAGGATTTATTTTAATAAGTGGATGTAATATCATTCTTTTCAAAGCTCATTACTTTCATTACAAACATGCATATTATTTGATAGCGAAACTTTGGCCTTAACAACCTCTAAGCTAATCTAAACACTCTTGTTGAAATGTACACTGGTGAAATATAATTGTTGGAAAGTGTAGTATTCCGATCTGACGGGTCAATCTTACCTTTACGTCTCCATTCCGATTCACCTTTTATGACAATTTACCCTTTCCTCCCTGATGAGTCACTCTCCAGCCCTCTGTGTATTTGAGTAAGTGATCTGTGACCTGAGAAGATATATGCCCTACACATTTACTCCATTGATACAGTTTGTTCTTCATACCAAAAAGTGATTCTTTACTAAACAGACGTCTTATATTTGCTTCATTGTTAGAAGTAGTACCAAGTCCAAGGATATTTGCATAAAGCTTCCATTTTCACATCGAGATATCATGAAAGGATTGTTAACTCGGTCAAATTCTTAAACGTTTGCACTCTGACACACCTCCCACACTTCATAAACACAGCGTGTGTCTCTGCTGATGAATACTAGGGATGACAAAATGGTCATTACAGAGCGACTGAAACACCATTCTCAATGAAAACAAATTTGGGGAACTTGAGTGCAATGACTGAAATATCACGAGTTTGAACGTCAGTTTCTACAACTTTGCAGACAGCATATTGAGAGGATGAGTGATTTTCTATGACATGCACTACGGCTAAATTTGAGGCGAGTTTAGAAAAAGTGATAAATTCAATAGACCATGTCAAATGTAATGAGTGCCCCTTTTGGAAGCATAACAATGTATCTCAAACCAATATTTCCCTCTAAAGTGAATTTTTGATTAGTTGGAGTGCTTTATTCCTGTGAAGTCAATAAGCAATCTCTATTTTGTGAACTTAATTTTGTTAACTCAGATTATCGGCTAAGTGGAGTTAATCGGAGTGCAGCTACCGCGAGGGTTGAGTCAAGAGTTATGGCCGACATATTGAGCGCAATGATTGAAAGTTCAGAGAGAAAGGAACAATGTAAGGACAAGAGCTCACTGCAAATGGACCAATGAAAATGTAGAAGGATTTTGGGTGGACACTGGCAACCAATGTCTCCCTCCTCGAGTTTTGCCAATGACATTTGGCTAGTTTTCAAAGGTGAAATGTGAGTTATCTGGTTTTGAATGAAAATTAATTGCGGATCAAAACTCTTCAACTATGTTAAGACAGTGTATAAATTTGTTCAATCTCTCAAGTAAATAATTTATGAAATAAGAAAATATCGCCAAAAATCGTTCTTATAAATTATACTTAATTTTAAGGAAATGATTGATCATGAAAAGAAGACATTTAGCTTACGGTATGAAAATATATTCGTTGTGCTTAAGTTTCATAGAAGTTCTTCATTGTTCTTCCACATGAATTCACACAAAATACGGTGTATTAAACTCAACCAGAGTAATAAAATCGGCATTTTTTAAAAATATCTTAGGCTTATCAGTCAACACCATTAAGCATTAAAAATTATCAAATAAAATCCATGATTTTTCAGTCATATGTGTAGCGGATTGCTATCTTAGTAAAGAATCTCGAACATGTAGCGGATTGCTACCTTCGTAAAGCCTTGGTTAAAGACTTGTAGCGGATTGCTACCTTAGTAAAGCCAGACCGGTTGAGAATTGTAACGGATTGCTACCTTAGTAAAGCCTGACCGGATTGCATTGTAGCGGATTGCTACGCTAGTAAAGCCTGACCGAAATCTCTATGGCAGATTCTCCAACACCTAGCTAGACTCCCAGAACAGCTAAGCTATAGCTCCACGGATTGCTACGCTAGTAAAGCCTGACTGACTCAGAAATATTGCTACTCTAGTAAAGCCTGACTAACTCAGAAATCTCTGGCTACGCTAGTAAAGCCTGACTGACTCAGAAATCTCAATGGGAGATCCTCCTACATCTAGCTAGACTCCCAGAACCAGCTAAACCGCCCAGCTATAAAGGAAACAGACGTATAGCACGGAGCACGCTTATTCAGTAAGGGTATTGTGAGATGGTGTACACGCAGGGAGTTAATCATGATCAGGATGGCGGATCAGGTTAAACAAACAGATAGCGAGCTACTCATGATCAGGATGGGGGATTAGATTAAACAAACATAGGTTAATGATTGGTCACTGTTTGTACGATCGCTGTACACAGAGTTGTACGGCAGCACCTCCCAATCCTGGCGTGCAGGCATGCGATGACGCACAAAGCGATAACGTGTCCCACATATGTCACTACTAACATTTTTCTTACTTTTTAGTATTAGTGCTACCATTATTAACACAGCTCTCGCAGTAAAGCGCAATGAATGGATGTTAGAAGCGATTCACTTATTGGCTCAACTCACAGCGTAGACAAGAGTAAAACGGAGATCCCACCTTATCGCCCCCTTGGCACAAATTGGAGTCAACCGCCTTGATCACCATACCTTTTTGCAAAATCAATTTGCTTTGACTTTTAGCAAAATATTCACCTCTCCGTGATGTACACTTTCTCCTATCTTTGTTATATTCAATATTGGTTTATTTTGCATTTATTAATTATATATTTGGATCATGAAATTATAATAAATGAACCACTTTCATTTAGGATTGTAATAGTGATGAGATTGGAGATTAATTTGCTTATTTACGTGGGCGTATGTTATGGGTCAACTCAACTTGGCGCTATTCAAAAGCACGTGATAAAACCAATTTCTTACATTGTTGAGACAGAACAAATTGACTTGATTAATAATTAATTGTTTTGGAAATATACTTTAAAATAAGTACTCTTAACATTGTAATACACCTGTTATCAATAGTGAGACATGGAACGCGTTCGCCCATTAAGTGACAGTCTTAATACCCATCTGATTTCACGCAATGAGCATCATTGCCAACCACAGCAATTTCGGCTCTCATTAGATATGATCATCTAATTACCCGAGAGAACTCTAAGGAAGTGATATTTCCTATTTCCAATCCTCCAAGCTTATTTCTAACAGTTTCTTTTCCATTCCAACAGCGCAGAGTCTTCGAAAGCTTTCACACTTGTAGTAAAGTAAATGAATTTGAATTGCCTTCGTTTATAGAATGCGCTAGGTTAAAAATGTGAATGCGATTGCCTCAAGGTTAATCACCACGTGCTAAAAAAATTGAAATATGATGATCACTGCTAGTTCATTAAAAGAATAAAAAGTGGGAATAATTTTATGTTAGACTTCATAAAGATTTTAATCCATTATTGATATTTCTTTTGCCTAATAAAATAGAAATTTTAATAGACTTAAGATAAATGGGAGATATACTCATTTAAAGCGTATATAGCAAGTAAGCTAACTAAATAATGCTGTATTCTAGCCCTCATTTGAAACGAACAGACCATACTTTCCTTAATTTCACTAATAAGGCGCAAATAAAAATAAGCCACTCTTTTTTCGAGTTGAAAGGTGTGCCATAGACTTACCTCCACGTGGTGTACCCTGTGCAACGTATACTCATTCG